TGGCATTACTACATGAATGATGATGAAAGTTTTCCGTTTTCTTAATCTGCAAATTTTAAATTTATTTGTTTGATCAATGTGTGTTATAGCAGGTAATTTCGCTGTAGGAATATTTTTTTTATATTATTTTTCTTGTGGTTGTAATAAGCCCAGATAATTTCTCCTAATACCGAGTTAATTTCCTTAGCAATTATAATGACAACATAAGCATATTCCCTTAGCAATATATATTGCATGTTTTTCTATTTTTTAATATTAAATTCGAATCTTTGATATATAAATATATTACATCACGTTCTCTATTTTTTAATTCTTAAATATTTTAATCTTACCTTGAATCTCTCTTCTTCTTCTTATTATTATTTTGAATTTTTTCTCAAATTTACAAAAATATTTTTTATTCCAACATTTTACGTGACCTTTCAGTTTGAATTCCATTACTTATTTGTTTGTTTGTTTCACTATGTGTTTTAGAATCGTCTTTTATTTTTTTTAATATTTTTATTCTTAAAAGTAAAAAAGAGTTATATAATATTTTCTCATTTCAAACCCATAATATGTTGCTTGTCTAAAAATGTAACAGCGACAGTTTAATTTTAAACAAGTACTAAATTTTCTCTTAATGTCAACATTGTTAATTAGTTGATAACATGGTTAGAGGTAATCCCTCAACATTGTTTTGACCATCCACCGTAGATTGTTTGCTTGCTATATATGTTGGATTAAATTAATGCTAAGCAAAATTTTATTTAAAATTAGAATTAAAAAATTGTAAAATATGTTTAGTAAATAACACCTGGTTTTAGAAATGGGTTTTTGCTCCCTACATTATTGATAGACATCTTAAGGCGATGGGAGGAAAAGGAAGTGACATCTTTGCCAATATATTGGGAATTGAGAGTGATACACATTCACACCACACACATACATATTTGATAGAGATATTATATAAAATTAGCATTTTGATGTTGTGAATGCAAAATTTTAATATCTTACGAATGGATTTTTCTTTTTTTAAATGTCAAAACCATTCCTTATCATCATTTCTCGTGACTTATCTTTTTATTTCATTTACTTTTTTTTATATCTTCGACCATTCTTAACTGTATTTTGTCAAAATTTTAATGATTGGTGTGATGAGTGTATTGACATGTAATGATAAAAAAAAATGTTAACTAATAAAAATGATAATAATGATGGTAGTTACTTATTTTTTTAAGAGAGACAGAAATTGTTTTTTTTTTAAATTACAACATTTTTAAATTATAGGGAAAATTGTTTTAAAATTGAGTTAAAATCAATTCAACTCTATTTTAACTGAATATATTTTATTAATTTTCAAACTTATATTAGAAAATAAAAAATTAAAAACTTAACCATTATGAGCAGATCCCAATTAAATTAATAATCGTGAATTGATACATTGAATATAAAAGTAAACTAAAAACAAAAATAAAAAAATTTCATAAATAAAGAAATAATATCTAAGGCTATTTCTTTTCAATGAAAATCATAGTTTCATTTCTTTATTTTTGTTCATGTAGACAACACTAGTTAATTTCTTGTTTACATTTTAGAATCATTACCGCTTAGCGTTAATATATAGTAAGTGAACATGGATAATTCCATTAAAACACTCTATTTTTAGAGATAAGGTTTCTACTAATTTATCTGTGTTTTCAGTAATTGTTAATTTAATAGTTAATTTTATATAAAACCACCCCTTTACAACTAAAGTTAATTAAATGTTTATTATTTTAATTTAATTTAATTTTGAAAAATTGTATCATATGTATAAATAGTGAAATTTTCAATGGTCAATACTGTATTATAACATATTAATTATCTAAGCTTATATAATTACTAAAAAGGGTATAAATTTTATGTGTAATATTATAAATATCGTTTGATTTAAGTTTTATGTTAGATATGCAATAAAAGTTGACGTATATTATTAAAATAAAATTTTATTTTTAATTAAAAATAATATTTAAACATATATAATATATTATATTTAATTTTTATTCTTACTAAAATGACGATAACGAGTTTTGGAATGGTAGATAAATTTACAATTTCTTATTCTTAGAATTTAATAATATTAAGTATGAAATTTAATAAACTGATGTCTTTAATAACTTTGTATAAAAAATATATTAATGTAATAATTGAATTTATATAAAAATTTTATAAAAGTAATTAAGCTTACATAATTTTATAAAATAAAAAAAATTAATTAATACTATTTAATTACATGATTTAAAAATTAAATTAAAAAATTATAGTGAAAAAAAAGTACTAAATTGAACACATAATGTTATTTAATTTGTCCCATATATAGACAACGACGAGAGAAAGAAAACGATAGTGACTGCAAATACAAAATTGTTGAAAAGCCAGAAACGGACTTTGATAGTAATTGAACATTGGCATCCCTCACTTTGCGTATGTATTTAAGTTTCATAGCACTTAGACAATATATTAACAATTATGATGATGTCTTCAACATGAATCTCTGTTTGAATCTTCTTTCTTCTCTGCTATGCAATTTTTTTGAAAATGACACCTTTTACCATTCTTATTTCTGAAGCGGGAAAGTGAGGATTAGAGAATTTTGATTTAGTCCTAAAAACAAATAAACCTCTTTTGGGACATTGCACTCAAATATTTAATTATCTATGAAATTAAAATTTTAATATATAAGAAAATAAAATATGATTTTTTAAAAATATTAAGATATTTCCACATTGCCTTCTATTTTATCTTTATAATTTGTATTGCAAATAATTAAAAAATATAAACATAAAGAATAATTTAATAACAAATAAGCATAACGAGCAGTAAATTATTTACCATTATAAAAATATGAAAGTAACAGAGTAATAATACATAAAACAAATTAGAGAATGTCTCTGAAGCTTTAATTAAAATATTTGACTCTTTTTAATGGAATATTATTGGACGACTATATATAATTAGATTTTACGTGCTACAATTGTCATGCATAATGATAAATGTATACCATAACTAATATTATGACCACATTATTTGTGAAAAAATTGACATCTTTCATACGTCCCTTCAAGTTCATAGACTTTATACCTAACGTAAGACACGTATTATCAAACATCTAATCCTTTCTACATAGGGCCACTTATTTTTATAAACGAAAACATGACTCTTTTTTCAAATATATTATACTTTGTATATACATAAAATACAGATAAAAAATGGAGATAATTTATTTATTCATTTTGGTAATGAAAAATATTCAAAGTGTTGTCAGACATTTATGATGGACTATATATGGTGTTGTATAACTAAATTCGGTGTACCAAATTAAACAGGATCATATGGGTTCATAAAACCTTCTAATTACTGTTTCAGTCTTCAATGACTTCAATAGCCTTACTCAAGTATTGATGACAGTGTTTTCGAAATTTGTAACGAGATTCATAAGAGGGGCTAAGTTACAAACCGAATAGAAACCTTATTTAGAATATTTCCACACATACACTCATCAATTTTGGGCTATATATTGAATCATTTTACACATTGGATACAAACTTAGACACTTTTGTACAGAATAATTGTATGTTTGTGTGCACATAGGAATTGTGGAACTAGTATTCTCTCTAATAGATGCATAGAGCAAAAGGAAATTGTTGTGATGGTGCTTTTATGGAATTTGAGTATTGAAGATGATGTAGTGCGAACGGTGTGTGAAGGAACTGGAGACATATAGATAGATGCCACGTTAAAACATTCTTTGCTTATGGAAAGAAACGGGAGAGTCAGATTGAATGGCTCGAAACGTTTCTCCGCGAAATGCGGCTACTTGCCGCCTCTTTTGTTTCTTGTCAATTGTTTTGTAGAAATGACCATTCTGCATCTGCAATCCTTTTTTTTAAATAAAGTTATCACACATCTTTCTTTATACATTTTTTTATTATACTATTACAGTTAACTTTTAATTTGTTTTTCTTTTTACATATTTACTCTCTAGTTCTATTTCCTCTACTTCCCATACAGGATGATGTATCTCTTTTTTAATGAGAATTCTATCAGTAAAACTCTGAGATTAAGTCTTGGAGGTAGATAAAATCTTCTTTATAGTATTCATAGCTGATAAAAGAGTTAGCTTTGTTTATGAAATGCTTTCTAAAAGAGTTAGTTTTGTTATTCTATAAAAAATTAAACAAAACATATTTATAATTTAGATAAAAAAACTTTTTCTTGAGCATGCTTTTATAATTTGATTTTTTTATATTACAGGTAAAATTTATCTTAGATCACTATCTATTTTTATCGTAATAAACTGTTGTTAGATTACAAGATGATGCCTTTGATTGAAATGATAAGGTTATTATTAGTCTTGTTAATGAGTATTTTAAGATATTTGTTAAAATATTAATAAATATTTTATTACATATTACATTAAAAGTATATTCAAAATCACATGAGAAGATATGGTATTATTATTCTGAAGAGAGAATAATAATTAATTGTTAACAAAACAGTGGCACAAATTTGAGCCTTAGATGGTGTTTGATAAATCTCGGAGCTCTACACTTGTGTTATTTAATTAGTGGAACCAATTTTTGTGATTTAAAAATGTTTCTCTCTCCTGATGTTGCGTATAGAATGGAGCTGTTTTGTGTGAAAAGTCAGCGTCTCTGTCTCTCTCTCTCTATAAACCCATTCTCTTTTGTTTGTTATTGGGAGGAACAATCAGTTTCAACCTCCAAAAACCTGTTCCTTAATTTGCTTTTTCTTGCTTCTTAACAGCCAAAGACCCATCTTCCCAGGAGAAAGCTTTTGTTCTCACACCCTCTCTTCTCTTCTTAATCAAACTCTCTTCTCACAATTGCATGTCTCTTATACCACGTTCTTCATCAATTGTATCAACCAATAAACAACATCTATGCTCCAAAACATGACACACCTTTTTCCTTCTTCTACTTGAACAACCTCTTCTTCCACTAATAGGAAGAAAAAGCATGTGCAGCAGCATAATCATGGACAATTACCAAGGTGATTTAACTGACATAGTCCGAGCCAGTGGTGGAGCATATGGTATTGGTAGTAGCAGCACTTCATCATCTGAATTAGCTACTACATCTCATCACCACCACCATCATCATCATAATCATAATCATAATGATCACTGGCACCAACACTTCTCTTCTGATCCCATGAATTTCTCTTCTGTTCTTGAAGACCCCAAAGGAAGCACCAACTTTGGTGATCCATTCTCAACCATGAGAGATCCCTTTCTTCAGGAGCTTGACATGCCTTCAGCTTCTGCATACTTCACTGCTTCTGGGGGTTTAGAAGATGCAGCTGCTAGTTTTGGTGGTGTTAGTGGTGGTAATACTAGTAGTACTAATACTAATACTAGTGCTACTTCTGTTGTTGCTGCACACAAGATTCTTGAAGAACATGACATGAGAAGGCCTTGTAAAAACATATTCTCAAACATGATTCAGATCTCTCCCAGTGCAAAGTTACCCGTCTCACCCTATGATTCCACAGCCATGGCACCTTCTCCAAGGGCAATTAAGCCTTCTGCTGTGGTTTCACCCAACATGGTTAATGCAAACACCTCCAAGGATTGCCTTGTGGACACCACAGGAGTGCAGATCTCATCTCCACGGAATCCGGGTCTTAAACGAAGGTAAAATGATAAGATATTATTAATTAATTACTTTATTAATGTCTGAATTAAATGGAGCTAGAGAATCATATTTAATTTATGCTTGTGGGTGTTAATTTCCACGGAATGCCATACGTTAGTTTAATTTAATTTATTTTTGATTTTAATTTGGGGTTGAAATTTTATGCAACTATGGTGAAGTGTAGACTGTAGAGAAAGTAGGGTTTGGCATGAGTTAGGTACCTGTGTTCCTTTTCTTGTGCTTTCCAAATCGGTTCCTTTGACTGAGCCAGTTAAGCTAGGTAGCAGCTCAGAAATGAGTAATAGTAGTTTCATTGTGAAGGGTACTAAACATGGTTTATTCATTGAGGCTTTTCGTAGGCTTTAATCCACCTGAAAAGTAGAGTTAGCTGGGCGTGTCACTCACACAATTACAGTCACACACTGAGCTTTCAGCCAACTTATCTTAAAACAACCTGAAAAATCCTATTCCTTTTTATCATCATCATAAAGAACCACATTCCTTCATTCAAAACCAGATTAGAAAGCCTGATCTCTCATACTTATTTTCGAATATTCTATTTCTCTTTGTCATAATATTCTTATTTTAATGCTTATATCATGCATAGTTTGGTCAAAGTTAGAATGAATATAAGTAAGTAATTGATATATATTACTGTGGTGGTTGTGTAATTTTGCTGCAGGAAGAACCAGGCCAAAAAGGTAGTTTGTATTCCTGCACCTGCAGCTGCAAACAGCAGACAAACTGGAGAGGTAGTTCCGTCAGATTTGTGGGCTTGGAGAAAATACGGTCAGAAACCCATTAAAGGTTCACCTTATCCCAGGTTAGTTAGTTTTAGCCTTAGCTAGGTACCATTATTCACTCTTGATAAGATAAGATATTTAAGGAATAAAAACTGTGCCCATAGCCATACAAAATGTGTATGTCACAACTCTCTTCCTCACCTCTACCTATGTTACTCAATTTCTTCAATGTTTATTGTCCATTGAATATGGATACCGGTCACACCTTGAGGTTTTAAAAACAACTAGGCTTAAAGTCTTCCTACTCAGAAAGCTCTCTTTAGCCGTTTTTTTTATTAGAAAATATTCACTATTCAAAGCACATGCATGGGTAGAGATTAATTGTTTATTTATTTTTCTCTTTCTAAGTTTTTTTCTCTCATGAAACTGACTTAGAAAATAATTATTTTCCTGAAATAAGTTTAACTAAGCACACAATTAAACAGTTAGTTTTTGTAATGTTACGTTGTAAGTGTTGGATTTTTTTTTCTTTGCCATTCGAGTGTTAAAAGTGTCTTTTATATTTCATTTTCTTGTGGGGGCATCAGGGGTTATTATAGATGCAGCAGCTCAAAGGGTTGTTCTGCAAGGAAGCAAGTTGAGAGGAGCAGAACAGACCCAAACATGTTGGTTATTACATACACTTCAGAGCACAACCATCCATGGCCAACTCAAAGAAATGCTCTAGCTGGTTCAACAAGGTCCCAGCCATCAAAGAACAACAATGCTACAAATTCAAAGAATTCAGAATCCTCTTTTAATCCCCAAAAGGGTACAACAACAAAGCCAAAGGAAGAGCAACAGCAAGAGAGCAACAATAATGAGGGAAATGTGTCCCCAGTTGTTGCTGGGAACTCAGGAAACAGTGCATCTGTGAAGGAAGAGAACATGGAAGACATAGAGAAGCAATTTGAGATGGATGAGGGAGAATTCAGTGATGGACTCCCTTATAAGCCTTGTATGATGGATCAAAGCAATAACCAATCCGAGGACTTTTTTGCTGAGTTGGGAGAAATAGAAGCTGACCCACTAAACCTTTTGTTCACTCAAGGGTTTGGTGCAGCAGAAGATCAAAGGGAATCCAAGGCCTTAGATCCATTCCATCTATTTGACTGGTCAGGAGACACCAACACCAACACCAATACCAACTCATTTGAAGAACCAAATAAGAGAAGGTTATGACAAGACCTAGAAAAAAGGCATGCAACACCTCCCTCACAAAACACCTTAATATCATCCTTTAAATTTTATTTATTTTTGGTGCAAATATTATTCAAGGTCATGATGTTATGCTCTTTCTTATTTAGGTTTGAAATTTGTGATGTGGGAGAGGTTTGAGAGATCTCCACTTTTTCTACTTACTACCTTTTTCTTTTCTTGTTATTTACCAGAATAGTCAGGGAGATAAATTAGTAGAGTGAAAAAAAGAGAGTGCTGGTTGATTGGAAGCAAACCCAACGAGTCCCACATTCCTTTTGGAATATTGGTGGATGGGACAGAAAGCTGAGGAACAGAAGGTTGCAACAGTTAAAACAAGTACAGTCACTATAGACATGACTCGAAAGCTCAGTGAGTAGATTGATGATGATAATGGGATGGGACTAGCCCTTTCATCTTTTCAAGTGGGAAAAATTATTTAAAAACCTCACCCTTCCTCATGTGGGGTTTCCTATTAAAAGTGAAAAAAAGGAAAAATGAAGAATGGTTTCGGAGATTTGCTTGCTGAGATGAAATTTATGAAAGCAGACAAAAATATATATATATAGGGTTAAAGTATATTATATTATAATATTATACTATAATATAAAGCTTGACTTTTCATATCAGTCATTTCTAGGATGTGTGACATGAGAGGGAAATGCATGCTTTGGTTCCTCGGCTTTCTGTTTTTTATTATCCACCGACTCATGTTCATTGTTTTGAATGAGATGAGATTACTTTATATGTTTCTTACATTGGTTGCTAATTACATTTTTATTCTATTGTTTAATCACGAGAAAGTGGTCAATTATACTGGCCCTTATCTGTTAGTACGGTAGTTTTCTGTTTAGATAATAAATCCAGCACAACGAGGTTGGCATTTAATCATTTCGCATGTGCATGCTCGCCTACTTGTGCATCTATATTTATAATCATATGCAGTAGCATCCTCCATCTGTTTATATATAATAATAAATTTGGAGAACGCAATATATATTATAAAAAACTTAAAATAATGAATATAATTTATTATATTTTATTTGAATAATCAAAATTAAAAATACACCTAACATTTGTAAGTAATATATAAAACTAACTTTTAATTTTAATTATTTATGTATAATTGTATTATTTGGATTTATAGTTTTTACATTCTTCAAAAAAAATTATTCTTTCTTTCTATCTATCTATATATGTAGGTTTATAATCGTTTAACGTTATTCATCTTTTTTCTTCTTCTTATTACATTATATATTAGATCTATCATTTCTCTTCATTATTTTCCTATTTATCTATTGATATATTCTTGAACATCTAAAAACATTTTCATTTTGTGACAATTATATAAGAACCTACATGCTACCTTAGTTTTATGCGCATTATATCGTATGAATATATATCTTAAATTTAAGAGTTTAACTTTGTCCAAAACTTATGAAAATCCTATAGTTATGAGTAAACTGCACCTGTTCTTGGACTTTTGTTTATTTCTTTTTGTGTTTTCCCTTTTGAGCTAAATAATAATTGTAATACAATGCTTCTGCTGCTGAAGGTGTCTGCGATGAAATACAAATAAGTAAATCCTAATTATGGGCTTTTAGTAAATGAGTATACATATATTATATATTACATAGTACTTAAAAATAAGAACAAAAATTAAGTAAATAGAAAGAAAATTGAAAATATCTTTAGTTATCGGTCTGGTTATTATATATATATATATATATATATATATATATATATATATATCTCGAAATAACTAATCGTATTTTTTCTCTGATAGCAGGATCATAAGATTTTACACATCTACAATTTTATGATTTTCTATTTCATTTTAACAAACATCTTCACCGCTATATATAATAGTGAATTAATTAATTTATGCTTTCAGATATCTTTTTCATCTTATATTACGCTTGGAAACTCTTACCTAAGCGTCACTTGCTTCCGATCGATGCGTTAAATTTCATTTGCCTACATTTTTCATGAAATAGTCAACATGTTTAGGTCGTTCGATCATTAACCATATATATAATTTATTATTAGTTCTTTAACCGCGTGGAAATGTTATTAACCAATATTTAACTGATCTTTAGCTAGGCATGGATTATTATTATTTAGGGTACACTGAGGATATTCTTTAATTGACAGTAAGATGTTAATTCCTTTTAAAGCATAAAAACGATTGAAATTAGCTTATTAGGTACTTTTATATACACACAAATATATATTAAAGTGCATTAATAGAGGAACAGTATTATAATTTAGTACATATTGTGCAGGCCATGGAGCTTAATAGTGTTAAATGAGTTTGTAGAAAATATTCTTTCCGTGCATAGCTTATTTTTCCATGCAATAATTAAATCAATTTGTGGCAATTGTTGATTGTGGGGACTCTAAATGCTGTGGTTGAGTGAGAGTAACGTTACTGTATAAAGGCACTTTGACACTCAATATTTGCTTTAGGAAGTATAATATATGGATAGTATGTAGAAATGCATATATTATAAGTGGTTCAAACTCTATTTCCAGAGAAAAGCACCTGATTTAGAACCAACCAATTTAGCATATGAAATTTTCGGGTGCAGGATTTTGGGTGACTCCTATGTTCTTATCTCTTGATCATGTCCTCTCCACTCTAAAGTAGTTCTAAGGGTAATAATATTTATGGAGATTTTCTGATGCTTAAATTATTTTGCAGCAAGTATATATGGATATGAGATTGGTTGATCAGAGCAGGGCATGTGTTCCCTTATGTAGTGATAGGATATGATAAAATAGGGAAAATATATTGTATCTCATAAACAGGGTTAGTTGCATCCTTTGGGGTTATTGCCTTCTTTTTTCTTTTTGAAAAAAATAAGAGTCTTCCTTGTATTAATCATAGTGATAAGAATAGAAAATTATCAAGATTCTTACAAAAAGTGCTAATATTAATTCTTACCTAAAATCATGAGGATTCGAGGTGACTCCTTTGAACTCTTTTATCTTGTTACTGCATTGCAGAGGTTAAAATGGTAAAAAAGAATATAGTAAAACACTTGATCAATGCTAATTTTTTTTTAAATGTGTCTAAGTGTATAAATATGTAATTAAACTTTCATAGTTGTGTGTATGTATGTACAATAAAAAATTATATTAAATTTTAAAATTAATTTTAAATATTTAAAAGATATTTTTTATTACATTAAATATAGAAAATATAATAAATATATATTTTTTGATAAAAAATAACATTTTAAATACTTAAAATCAATCCTAATTAAGGATATGGTATTAATAAAACCATATATAATGTGACTCTAATCCAAGCATCTCTCCTTTTAATTTAGAAATTAAGAAGGATCTTAAGAGGATTTTATCTATGTATCCTTTCTTATTTATCGGAGAATTTGATGCAATTTTGTTTTTGCAAGACAAGTATTGCATATAGGTGTGAGATAAATAAATTTTCTGCTAGTGTTTTTTGAAATCGACATTTTTTTCTTACCTAAAAATAGAAAATCATTTTTCTCTCCTAAAAATTTTATATAAAAAATACAAAACAAAAGAGTTAATGATAAGTCTTTGGGTTTCTGAATCTACATCTGCAGGTTAACGGGTTCAGGGAGAGGTGGGATCGAGGATCTTTCTTAAATACTATAGTGATGTTGTATCCCTTTTCTATTAACGATCTTCATTTCTAAGAATGAATATGATATAACTCGAGCCATGAGCATGTTGACGCAACGTAGTTTGACATTTTCCTATTGATCAATTTCTTAAATGTGATTTTCTTATTCATATACGTGCAACTAATTAAATAGGGAGATATTTTATAGTATTTTATTGTGATATTCCTGTTTAGTGAACATCAGTAAATCTGCCGTTGAATAATCTTGACTATTCCTTGACCAATTTGATCATCGAAAAATACCTAACTATCATCATCTTGATCATCATAATAGATTTCAATATTTACAAGTACGTGATAAACGAATGGAATTATCACTTGCTTGAAAGTTATATCATATCTTGATATTTAACTACCTGTTTACGCAATTATACAAGTTTAATTAACTTTCTAAGAGTGATAAGTATCAAGTAATTATACTTTAAATCAAATGGAGGAGTTCGTAAAATAGTTATCTCATAAAAATTATTAATTGATGAATGAATAATTTATGTATAATAATGTCAACGAATCATATATATAGCCATATACGTTATTCTAAACTCTCAATTTCATATCAAAATTAATGTATGTTATGTTTTGTTAAGCAAGTGAAATTATCTACCACTTCATTATTTTCACATACAATAACACGAGCTTATTTATTGAAATTAAAATTTTTACATGATTTGGCATTTTAAATTTGACTGTTGATGTAATATAGCTATATACGTACATATACTTGAATAAACAAGTCATGTGCATGTTGATGTCAAATGCATGTTATAATTAGCAAAAGATATATGTGTCGACCTATAGTGGATGCTCCTCTTGTATCTAAAATGTGACATTTTGGCCTGAACACCTTGAAGCCACATATCTTGTTCATAATGGAGACAACTTTTATTTCGCTCAAGCTAAGTTATTGGCTTTAGTCTTGTCAAATCCATAAACTTTAGAAATGCATTCTCACCTCCTTACAAATGAAGTCACTTCAATGGGTAGAGAAAACAACAGTCTATTAAATGCTTTTGCCCATACGGCCATTTCCTCTCTTAGTTGATTGACGGGTAAGAGTCATTCATTATGGATTTGAAGGAATAAGAATGCAACTTATCTTGTGGGAGTAACTGTAGTTCATGATTTTGAAGAAGGAAATGGGAGTCATCAATTGATGACACACATAAAGCTTCATGATTCTATGCTCTTTTTTTGAAATGTTTGGTCATAATTTCCTTTTTAGTCTTTTGATGAGTGAGTTAACCTTCTTTTCTATATCAATCCTAATATGATTTGCGCATGAAACATCACATTGAATTGGTCAAACATTCATATCAGAAACGGAAAAAAATATTTCCCCCAAATACGAATCATAATTGTGCTGATTTGCATCACTGATTGGAGCTAATGTTCATTGGCTTTGCTTTAATCTTTCTCAACCTCAAACATTCCTTTGTAAACCTTTTAAAAGGAAAATTTGAAAATATTATATTTTATACCTCAACAAAGTTTTCTGCTTATTTGCAAGTAACCTCAGTCAGAGATATCGAATGAATATAAGGAAAAATATGGATTTGTCAGTACTTTTGTTGTCAATCAGATCTTCAATTATTTTGTTGAGGGATATAAGAAATCTACAGTTCTCCATTATGCATGTGCGTACGTGTTCTTCCTTTTTTAGAAGTAGTTTTTAAAATTTTCTGAATTCAAAACATGTACCTCTAAATGATATTAAGCATCAAATCTAGTCAATTCATATTTTTAATAATTTTTAAAAAATAAATTTTATTAATTTAACCCATTATAATATTATTATGAAGATTTTGTATATAATTTTTTATATAATTTAAACATTTATAAATATATAATTAACTACTAACTATTTAGCTATGTTTTAAATGTATATTGTTGATTAAAATAAAGTAAAAGCAATAAAATATCAATTAATATTTAAATTATGTAAAATTTTGTTAAGTTGATTAATCATGTGAAAAGAGTTGATTTGATGAAATTTACTTTCAATAAAAATTGATAATTATTTTATTAAATTTGACATTTAATTTATATCATTTGACTTTTACTTACACGTATTTGAACTATAATTTGTTAAAATTAAATGTTTAATTTAAATAATTATATCATTTAATAATTTTTTTATAAAATATAAAATTAATCAATTCAAATGTTAATTTAAATGTTTTTATAAGTGGATTAAATTTATAAAATTTTATATAAAAATAAAATTAATAAGAACTATATCGTATTATTTTGTTTTAATATGTAATATATTTTTAAACTATACGTAAATATTAAATTTTAAATAATATAACTATAAATTTTTAATTATATAAAATTTGATATATATAATTATAAAAATAAATAAGATGATTTAATGATTTAATTAGTTTATTTTTTAAAAAATAAATTAGTATAAATATCTAAATTTAGTGTCTTAGCTACAATAGCTGTAACTTGCTACAAGTAAATAATCACCGATAATTGTTTCAAGTGTTAGTTGTGAAGTAATAAATCAAATTTATCTTTAATAATTATTATATTAAGAAAATAAAAAATATATTTATTGCATGTTTATTTTAACTATTATTTTAAAATTCTTACAATAATTTTTTTTTTAAGAAAATTCTCCTTATATATGTGCCTAGTACTTTAATAATTTATAAAATTCAGATATCAAAATTATATGTTAAGCTGAAATAACTCTTTATATTTAATTTAAATATTTTGTAATATTTAAATTTTAAATATATAGATATATAAAATATTTTTTAAAAATTATCATGTATAATAATCCTATTTAATTTAAACATGAATCACTCTTATAAAATATAACTATAATCTTAAAAAATTCTCACTAAACTAGTTCTTAAATTAGAACAAATTTTTTAGTTATCAACTAATTTACATGCTTGATGTGAAATATTTGTAATTGGAAAGAGCGGTGTCCATTGGTTTAGATAAATTTGATGAAGCTTAGAATTTGAATTAAACCAATTAAATTAATTTATTTTATAATCATATTTTTGAAAGCAAATTAATTTGAACTACACTGATTATTATATTTTATTTTGTTTAAAATCTTCCTCTTGATCATGATTCCATACTAAAGTATTATGAAATTTAGATTTTTAATGTTATTATTTTGTACTAACAAGTTTATTCTTTATATATATATAGACACACACACACTCTCAACTAGAATTTTAAATATGTTTATAACCAATTTTATATTTGATTGGTTTTATTCGAATTTGTTAAAATTTTACATAATCGGAATCAGTTTTTGCTATATTAATAAACTTTATTCTTTTGAAAGTGATACAATCTTACTTTTGTTCATCTTATTTTCGAAATTAATGGCATGATTGGCATCATTAAAATCTTATAATATATTAAATTTAAAGCTGAATTTACAAATTATTAATTGAGTAGCTTTTAATATATTGAAATTGTGAGCAAATGGTAGAGAATTATGATAAATGACCTAATAATGAAGATGTATAAATTTATAATATTGATATTATAAGTAATTAAAAAAAATCATTGAGTTCAAACATATTTTTAGTATAGAATTTATACATAATTTATAACCATTATAGTTTGTCTTATAAAATTAATTTTATGAGAGGAAAAGTAAATTTTTAGTAATTAGAAAGATGGGTTGGAAAGGAAAGAGGTTAGAAGAAGCATGGATCTTGATCTCATCAATCACATCACAATGAAAGTTATGATCGGTGGCATATAAGTTGTTTGCCTAGTAATGACTTCATACGATGATTCAAAATCCTTTTGATGTTAATGTCAAATTCAACTTTATTTAATTTGTGGACATCATTTCTATTGCCTGGGACCTCTAATCATGCCTAAGATTTACCAAATTTTAAATGTTTTACAACTTTCACTCTCATAATAATAATTATGCATTTTTTTGAACTTTTCAATGGTCATAAAACTATGACAAGATATATACTTACATTCTCACACGGGGTGGAATTCAAATGCAAATATAAGTAGGCTTATTTTACAAATTTTAGCTACAAAGGAAGAGGTATATTTGGGTTGACCTATTTTAATACTAATATATTTTAACAAGTTTATTTAAATATGCCTGTCTTGCTTACTTTACCCAACACTTTCTCCTTTTCTTCATACATTCCCAAACTCCTATAGGATTCTCTCCACTCTCCTATGCTAGAACCTTGTGCCCTTATCCATTACCATTATTAATAGTTTCTCTTGATTTTATGTCATCACTTTTTCCTACTAGGATCACACTATTTCCACTGCCACCTCCTTCCTATAAGATACCCCTTTTCACTCTTTGTGGGGATTATTTGGATTTTTTTTAATCTAACCCTTTCTAATGTGTGTGTCATTGACTTGTTTTTGTATTGCATGCATATATATATATATTGATACCTCTGTGAGTATTTGCTTTTAAACTGCTTATGTATATATTAACTTTACTTTGCTTAATATTTTTGGGGGAAGTATTGTATAATTTTTTTGCATAACTTTTTTGTGAACATATTTATACATATGGATGTCTATAGTTTATCAATGTTATGTTTTAAATTCCCATAATTTATTTTTTATTAATCTCATCTCTATTTTAGTAAAATAAGTAAAAAAGAAAATTATTTAAATGATCTTAATTGGCCTTATCTTTAGAGGATAATTTATTTAAATAATCTTTTTGACCTTAGGCTTAGAAATTACCATACTTTTTTAATAAATTATTTCAAAGGTCAATTGATAAGTAAAGCTGCACATTTCTGATCTATTAACAACAATAATGTTTAAGTATTTATTTAAAACTTCGTCCTTATTTTAAAGCGTAAAATTTCAAAGTAAGTTACGAGTAAATATATACATTATTTTGGGCTTCTCTTTCATAACGTGATCAAATTAATAAAATTAAAAATTATTTTTACTAAAGGAAAAGGAAAAAGTTGAATAGGAAAGTCTCAAGATTAGCCATCCAACGAATTCAACTGATATTATATTTATTTTAATATATGGGAAGTATTGCTGACCCCACCTCATCTTATTGCCATTTATAGTGTGAATGAATGAGTTACATCTAAGAGCAGGGGGGTGAAAAGATTTGAACCGACTTCATAAATTTTAAAAATCAAACCAAAATAATTAAATTAATTTAATTTAATTTGATGTATATGGTTGGATCCAAAATAAACCAAATCAAATTAATGAAATCTAATCCTCCTTTGTTTATGTAATAATTCCATGATTTGGATCTTGATAGTATTGGCTCAAAATAAAAATCTTTGAGAAACTGAAGTTCAACTTTTAAAATTCAATTGTGAAATATGTTGTGTCATCACTTTCCCTTGTCACCTACCAATGCACTACAATTGGTTAGTGTTACTAACAACAACAACGTTCCATGATTTGTGAATTGGATTCTTTGCTTGGTTGCTAGGAAGCCACGCTTCATGGTGTTGTGCCCTTCAACAATCAACACCCAGTAAGCAAGATAAGAGTTTTTTTGTTTTATTTGACGTTACAATGCTATTGACGCCAATCCAACACAGTTTTATGGCATCACATTCACGGCGACTTTTATCACTGACCCGAAGGGCCTTTTCTTCTTCTTCTTTTTCTGAAGGAGGGGTTTCTATGGTTCAAGGAGCTTCCAGAGGAATTGGCCTTGAATTTGTGAGATTTTTCTCTTCCTCTTGTTACTTGCACATCTTTAATGATTTATTTCAATTTGGGCACTGTCCACATTGTCAAAATTTGTGCTTGTGTTGATGGGCTCTCTGTGTGCTTAATCTTTCATCTTACTCATAATTCGTTTGTTGAATGGTAATTTTGTGTTGTGTTTGTTCTTTTGATGACACAAATTATGAGTGCAGGGATCCGATTCCTTTCATAAAAAAATGTGACTTCCCTTCAGTTCTTCTTGCAAACCCCCACTCTATTTTAAAAGCCCACACAACTTCCCCAGTTGGAGGAATTTGTAAATAAAAAATAAGCAAAATTCAAGGAGGTTTGAGTACTTCGAATAATATAAAATAGACAGAGTAATTTACTCTTATTTGTAGCATGGGGGTTTGCTTTTTTGTGTTTACTTTCTTAATCTTGTTTGTGCAGTGGTACTGTGGTAGTACAATAATTACAGTCAATTTATAGTATCTTCCAAAAGCAGATCAAGAATTGTTTTAATTTGCCAAATTTTCTTAAGGGTCAAAGATCAATGAATCGATTGCAAGTTGATTGATTCAAGCATGAAACCAAGCCCTTCCATAATCTTCACCAGTGCTATACCGGCTGTTCTGTTCTCATGATTGATTTTTGATCACTTTCAAACTTCTATTTGTTTATTAATAAAGTTTAACAAATTGTTTTTTTTACAAAATACATGTATGGACACCCTTTTTCATTTGAATCTCTTAAAACAATCTGATGCTTTTCCCTTAATTCACCTCCACTAACTCCACATATCAAAGGAGTCAAGAATCTTTGTTGCAATTTAAATCAAATAACTTCGCTGAAACAGTTTTAACACTGCTTTCAGTTTCTTCCATCTACAGGTAAAACAGATTTTAGAAAACGATGATAAAGGGCACGTTATTGCTACTTGCCGTAATCCTAGAGCAGCAACTGGGCTTATCCATCTGAAAGATAAATTTTCAGACCGTCTTAGCATTTTGCCGTTGGATTTGACCGTTGAAAGTTCAATTGAGGTTATATTTCTTTTCCTTTAGTTGTTTTCCTTCTCTTTGTCAATTGCATCAACAGAAGCATGCATTTAGACACCATTAGGAGCCTTGGTCTCTCTTTTAGTTCTTCCCTTGTCCCAAGTCTGAGGTTAATTACAAAACTATATGGCAGATGCTATGCAATTGGTATTTATAAATGTAGATGTTATTAAACATTATTTAAACCTAAAGGACATTGCACATTTCCACCCAAATCCACTAGTCAGATCCAATATGATCAAGGGAAAATTAGCAAATCTACTGGCTTTTTCTTTCAGGACTGATATGAGGTCTGCAATTGTTGATCAGCAGTTAGCTATTGGTATAAGGATGGTATACTGGGGTTGCAAGTGACATAATTTGTAGTTTTGGGGGAAATGGAATTGGAAAGATAGACACGGGTGTGTATGTGCAATTTAACGTTAAGCCTATCTATATCCGAAAAAATAATTATGAAATCCATATTCCTTTTTAGGCATTAAAGATGGTTCACTGTTAAATAAATAGTTCCAAATTCATTAGTTTTTTAAGGTTTGTGTATTTCATAATATTTCAGGCATCAGCATTGTCAATAAAACAGACATTTGGCCGTCTAAACCTTCTCATTAATGCATCTGGCATTCTTTCAATACCTGGAGTATTGCAACCAGGTAAACATTTTATTTCATTCTTTGATAATGGATTTAAAATATCCCCTGCCTATTGTAGCATACAGGAAGATTTAAGTGAGAAATACAATCTCTGATAACTGTAATTTTTATTCATGTATTACCCTCCCCAAACACATCCCTCCAAAAGAAATGAACTAAAAGGATAAAAGAAGATGGAATAACAAAAGAACACAAAATAAGATAAAGAAGAAACCAGCCTGCTCTTATCAGGAAGTGCTTAATGGGGGCTAGCTGCCAGTGATGTATAACTGCGAGCTAAAGCTCTGCTATCTTGTTTCATGTTTCTTACAACTGTGAGGGAGTTGATTATTTTAGTGATCTGTACAATACAGAAACGACATTGAACAAATTGGAGAAGTCATCTTTGATGCTTGCATATGAAGTTAATGCTGTGGGTCCTATCTTAGTTATCAAGGTAACATCAATCTAATTTTCATTACAAAAATTATTAAACTATTTATGATAGTTTAGAAGTAAATTTGGGTTCTTTATGTATATGAGGGGGCTATAGAAGCCTTTGGGTATTCCAGGAAGAAATGGATACGCAGATGATAAATAAGTAAATATTATGTTTATTCTTGTGATTCTCGGTAACTGAGTAAATAATGTAAACAGATGATTAGCTGACTGTTGTAGCTCCATAAGAAACAGCACAGAAAGTGTTACTATTTACTCAAGCTCAGGATAATCAAAACTCATGCTTGTTCGCATGTAATCTAAATATGGATACTTGATATGTCAATTGTTTTTTGTTGTTAGTATATAATAATTATGATTACCTATGCATATATGTCATTGGAATGCTTATTTATTTGACGTGGCTGTCAATGAGTGATGACAATAACTGTCAAGTTGTTCTTACTCATCCCCACAGCAAATATATGTAAAAGATTTCAGTTGGTGAGATCGAATACAGGAAAGACTTATATACCTCATGCTCATAGTTCTGTCTATATACTCTTACCTTCCGTGTTTTGCATATATTATGCATTTGAACTTGAAAGACTTTCAAATGCTACTCACTTAAAATTGCTCTACAATTTTACCATGATAAGAGTAGTCCAATTTGTGAATTTGGTTTAGCATCTAATGCACTCTAATATAAATAAGGTGGACTATGTGTACACAAGATGCAGCTTCTTCTGAATACCATTTGGTTCAGGCTTCAGCTCTACTAAAGATGGCTAATCCTCTGAATTACATCATTTCTGCAAATGGCACATGCCTTTACAGTACCCCCTCCTTGCTGTCATTTATCCAAAAACTGAAAAACTATCACTCTTTCTCCACATCAATAGTTTCAGAGAGACCACAGATTCCATTGCATCTCAATCTCACTCACGGTACAAATCTTCTTTCAGTTCCATGCTCTCGTTCACACTTTCGTAGAATGGCTCTAATCATGATAAGAACCCTATTAAACACCTTACCAAGACTCTATCAGCTCCATTATTTGAGTAATTAACTCAGTTCTGTAATTCATGCTAAAATGATTAGTTTCGCCTTTACATTGCCCCCAATATTTTATCACGAGATAACTTGTTTAACGGCATATTGGTCCTTCCAGGCCCCCGAAGAAGTGACTTTCCCTTGATATTTTACCTTATTTCTATAATTCTTAGTTTTGTGTAACAATAACAATGCATTTATCATTGTTTTTGTCGAATTTCATGTGTCTCTTTAACTTCAATTTTATGAATTGAAGCATTTTTGACATTTCAAGCTAATATTTTATATCTGATTCTGCAAATTTTTAAATCAGCACATGTGGCCTCTTCTAAAAGTAGGAGGCGGCTTTGGGACTGGAAGAAGTTCTGCTGTTGTGGCTAGTTTGAGTGCAAGGGTTGGATCTATTGGGGACAATCGGCTTGGTGGCTGGCACTCTTATCGATCTTCAAAGTCTGCTCTTAATCAATGTATGACTTCTCTATCATAAGATATTCAATATGATAAGTCCAACTACCTCATTGGATCATACATGTGTGGTTTGACTATATGCAAAACATATATAATGAATCATGTAAAAATGTACTAGTATTACTACACACATGACCCATTTGTTGTGATTCAACTGAAAAATTCATCATCAGATTGGATCATGCAAGTTGTTAGATTTCCTCATCATTGTTCAATACTGTAAATGCATTTATCACCTGAAACCATACTTTGTCTTTTACATTAATCACTCCAGAATCCATGAGTATGACCAAGGCATTTCTTCAGTTGACAGTGCTTGCATAAAACCATGCTTCTTAGCTCTTGATTTTCAATACTCTCTATTCTCTTCGTTTTATAGTTGCATGTATTTTTAATAATAATGAATGCTATGCATTAGTGAAGTATGAATCAAATGAGTTTGAAATTGTCCAAACTGTTTGAAATAGTAATTTTTACATGCTTTATTCCCCCTATCAGTATCAAAGACTGTCTCCCTGGAGTTTGCAAGAAAGAAGGATCCAATTGTATGCATTTTATTGCATCCTGGTACAGTAGACACAGATCTCTCAAAGCCATTTCAAAGGAATGTTCCCCCAGACAAACTCTTCAGCAAAGAGTTCTCAGTGCAGAAGCTCCTAAGCATCATTAACAATGTGAAGAACCATGACAACGGCAAGTTCTTTGCCTGGGATGGTCAAGAAATTCCTTGGTAACCCTGTCATAACATGTAAGAATGATACCAGTAATAAGTGTCAAAGCTGCACTCAAGAAAAAAAAAATGGCTAGAGAATTGTATTTCATAAAATTCTTTGATTCATTGATGTTTATGGAACATCAAAAACACAGACACTCTTAAATTTTTGCTATGTTGGTGTGGATAGGAATTTGATCCTCAGGTGTTTAATAAATATTATTTTGTATTGTATTTGCGATAATTAAAGTAAATAAAAAAACTCTTCTCTCTCAATCATGTGGTCATTGAGTTCTATTTATATTACCATTTTTTAATTAAGAGATATTATATATACTCTTGTATATTCATGTCATATATTTTACTGCACTATACATAAATCTTTTGACAATATATCCCCGTACCATACCGGTTTCATATCAGATGGCGATGCTCATACTATGTGTGCATCATCACAGTTGAAGTTTTTTTAATGCATAAAGCTTTTCATATATTAGATGCTTAAGTTTTTTTAATGGAAAATACACAAGATAGAGATAGAACATTCTTCGAAGTGACAAGCATGGACTCTTAACAACTTTTTAAATCTTTGTGAAGCAATAGTATCGTGCATCAAACTAGTGGACACAGTAAACTTCTATCCTAAAAGAAAATAGTTTCTAGAAAGCAAAGGAAGAACAGAACTTTAGTGTATACTTGTCGAGAAATTTATAGGTTTATTGGAAGGTAGAGTTCCAGAAGAAATTAGGGTGTTCATGGCCGAGGCATGGGAGAATCATGAGTTTTTTATGACAATAACAGGGAATAGATTCTACAGAAGTGACTTGAGTAGACACTTTGCAGTACGCTTTCCAAGTACCAACGTCCTGCCAGTCAAATGGTCCCAAGAATACAATAAATTGAAGGAAAATGTTTTGTAGAGACTCATAGAAGTGTCTACAACTACAGCGAGAAAGAAATAGAAGAGAAAGAAGTGATATATGATATGACATGACAAGAAGAGAAACAAAAAAAGATGAAAAATATTAAATGGGTGTTGACCCTATTTGAGTGGTTACGAATCTTAATTGTAAATTCAACTATATTTTCCATGGAATATATATATATATATCCTGCAAAAAAATATGAAGTTCAAAGAGGATATTAGTGGCACTTTGACAAATTGATAAAGATATAATTATGAGCAAGGTACTACTGTAGACGAGAATATGTGGCAGCCAATCTGAAGTCACGGATTCCTCCAAAACTTATCACTTATTTTGCAGCTATAGAGACGTAATTGTGTATATTATTATTGATAATTAGTAAGTCACGTATATACAGTAGAAACCTAACGCAAGGTTATCTAGAATACAGCAGAAATTATCTAGGATGCATTGTGATGGAGAGTTTAAATAAACGTTTATTTAATAAATTTTTAAATAATAACTTATGTCATAACTTTAACCATAATTTTTTGAAAATAAATTAAAAATAATTTATTTTAATAAATTACACTAAAAAATTTATGAGATTAAATGATTTCTGTAAGCTGCCCAAGTTCTTCCAAATAGGCCAACAGCTATAGGTAACAACTATACAAGGGATAAGACAAGTGTGACAGCAACAAGTTTAGATAAGTAACAGCAATCTTCAATCAAATAATATCCCTACAGCAGCAACTCTACCAATGGTCCTAATTTTACTTTGGAGACAAAGATTTCATATCCATGAGGTGATCTTCCATCACTAAATCTTTCTTTTTTGGGTTGAAAAAACAGTATCAGCATCTATGAAAAACATATAGCACTATCTGAAAGGGACAAATTTCCATTTACTTTATCTCAAGATGGAGCTTGAATTGAAAACTCAACGAGTTTAACAAAATTATGCTTCTATCATATATCTAACACGTGGAACAAAAAGTTAACTCAATGAAGTAAATGCAACCTTAATAAAAGTGACTTTTTTAATACATGAAAACTAAATTGAGGTTCAAATAGGGTGCTAAAGAAACAGTATAAACACGAATAATATAAAGGCATAGCATAACTAAAAAGCATGAGAGGCTCATACAGAAGTGGAAAGAAACTAAATTTTACGTCCTAAATGATGTAGTTGATTAATTACATGAATGATATCATGTTGTCATTCACTATAAAAGAAATACACGTCCTCCATTAATAAAAATCAGTATAATTAAAATATTTTACATCTAATATTACTGCTTTTAGTTAGACTGTTCAACTATTATAAATTCGTTTCATTTGTAACATTATTAGCGATTACAATTTCATATTTTATCAAATGAAGTAAATTCCTCTCTATAGTTGAGTAAAGTGCGTATTTTTATGTGGTACCACATTAATGAGTTGTTTGGATTATATAACTGCATTCATTTTCCAACGAAAAGCTCAGATTTTTAGCGTGATTGAATTCACGTTTAATTGTGTGTGTATATACATTTACTGCAACCTTATTATATCTTTTTGTGTCAGATCACCGTTTATTAGATTTTTAACATGTTTATACACACATTTTTGTTTTGTTTTGCATGAAATTTTGGACACTTTCTGTGTACAAATCTGTAACAGTGAAAAAGAGACTTGATTCGATCTTTCAGTTTATTTAAAGCAGTACATATATTCACTTTAAACTATATTAATTCTCTCCTGCAGTTTCCAACTTCAAGGTAACTAATATAGTTGTTTACAGGAGTGAATACTGGCAGATGACAGGCTTTGATTTCGAAAAGATTCCTGTGGTAGGACTTTGATTTGTGGTGAATTCTCTGGGACTAATTCTATAAGGAAAATGTTTCTTAAATATTAAAATTACACAATAAATATTTTTTTAAAATATATATAAATGATAAAAAATAGTGACACACAAAAAACAAATATATAATGAATATTACATGTTATGTAATTTTTTTAATGTTTAGAATATGGAAACCATTTTGTATGTGTTACCATGATATATATGCATATATGGTTGACACTAAGGATATCCACTAGACCACTATATATTTGGTGACCTGTGTAGCCATTTCACAACATCACAATCACAGTTCCATCTTTGTCAATACTCATTCAATCATATTCTCATCAAAAGCCGTGCTTTGTCCTTCCCTGTCAATGCAAACCGTTGTAGGTGGATTCTCTGATAGGCACTGAGAGGTTGAGATTATGAAGGATATATATATATATATATATATATATATATATATATATATATATATATATTAATAAGAATCACATTAACTTCTAAAGTTCTCTGACTTCTTTTGATACATTACGTTTTCTGAAATCCGTGGTGTCTTGCAGTAATGCTTCTTGGCAAAAATAAGAGGGAAGTGAATTAGAGCTTGATTGGTTTATAACATGTTATTTGGATTGATTTACATTTAAATTATAAAAGTTATCGATTGTTGTCGTAAATTTTGTTCAATTCACGTTTAGAGAATTTTTAACGTAATTTTATATACACACCTAAATTTTGATAGAATTGATTTTGAAGAATTGAATATGATTATATTTAAATTCATTTTAAACACATTTTATGTTGGAACCTGTGTTAGAAACTCAGCAAATGAAATTAAATTTCTGAATGTTAATCAAACATTCACTTAGAGCTGTTTTACACCTAGAATCATCTCGCCATATTTTTTATACATTCCAGAATAAAACTTATTGTTAAAGTTTGAATGAATACGCATCTTAATTAACAATTCAAAATTAATTACATATACTGAAATTTAAGACAAATGACACTTAGTCGTTTGGGGTTATAGAAAATGAAAATAATATAGAGTAAACAAAAATGATAAGTGAAAAAAAATATTTGTATCGATAATTTATCTTCATTCAATTATAATATGTTGAATCTGTGAGTAATTGTTTGAAAATCCCTTTACTTTGCTTTGGATTTTCGCTTGGAAGGACACTTTGACGGGTCTTTGATCTACCTAATAACCTCACAATTCAATATATATTAGTGTTCTTTTCCCTAAAACACTACTCAAAATTTCCTCTATCCCAATTCAAAATAAAATACAGAAATTTATGATGATATGTATCCTGAGTTCCCGATTAATTAAGGACTTGATTTTTGGGTTTTTGTTTTGAAAGGGGTGTATGATAAATTTATAATGGACCAAAATGAAAAGGAACATATGCAATCTGTTGAATAAGATTTTAATTTGTTTTTGATTCATGAACTTTTTGCGTCATTTAGAGGGCATTTATTTTAATTATTAGAGCTTACTTGGATAGTAATCTATACACATAAAGATTAGAAGATGAAATATTATATATAAAGAAAACATAAATCGACCAAGAACCCTGTATATGCGTGATAGAGATTGATCATACTTAATTGGTTTCTTGAACATAATTTTTCTGAAATGGAGGCAAAAATGAACAAATGAAGATTAGAAAATAAAAGAAAAAAAAATTCAAACAGTGATAATTGGTTACTTGTGTTCCTCATGAGGACAATCCATCAAGTTGGTTATGATCTAATTTGAAGTTATGTTAACAAATATTTATGTTACTTTCAGTATATTCTATCATTAATTGATTTATCTATTTAACGCTAAGTCCATTATTCATTATTTTTAAAAGCCTCTTTTACAGTAACATATTTAAGTTACTTTTACTAATTAACAATAACTCTTTTAGAATAACATATTGTTTATATAATTATTAGGTTTCTCAGAGGAGTTTCAGAAAGAGTTACTTTGAGTTTCCCTTGTATAAAATAGAAAATGGAAATGAACTCTTTTGTACAAATCTTAGCACTAACTAAAGGCAAGACACAAGATCGACCAAATGGCTACTCTAATTGCTGCCAAAGATTCTTCTCCATATGAAGACGCTGAAACTATCAAGAAGGCTTGCAAAGGTTATCTAAATATCTTATATATGTTGCACAGTTTATATACGTAGAATGTTTTAATCACTGCAAAATATTCATGTATCTATCTTCTTCTTTTTGTATAAATATAAATTATGTAGTTTTTTTTTTTAAAAAACTATTTACATAATCTCTCCACACCAGAATCGAAGCATCCAATTTTTTTAAAAAAACGATGAACAAAATGAAAATATTTACGTGATCGGGTGACGAAAATATGCCATTTTTGTTCATAAAAACTCTCATGTTCACATTTGTTTTATAACAATGTTTGACGTTTCTAATTATTAATAAATTCATATGTCATATTAGTTCACGTAAGTTTAACGTAATTTTAATTTGACTTGTAATTAAATTATTTAATTTGTTTATTATTATTTTAAAATATTTTCTTTTGTATCTTAAATTTTATAAAGTAACTAAACTATCTTTATCAAACCAAAACCTTGCACCGATCATGCTCATACACACACTAGTTTAGTTTACTAGATTTCTAACCATGTTTTGAAAAAATGTATGGTTTGTAGGATTTGGGACAGATGAGAGTTCTCTTATATCCATACTAGCACATCGAAATGTGGCTCAAAGGAAACTTGTGAGGCAGGCTTATGAAGAAATTTATCATGAAGATCTTATCCAACAACTCAAATCTGAACTTTCAGGAAGCTTTGAGGTAGAAATATTACAATTCATAGCATTTTTTTTAGAAAATGTTAATATCAACTTTAGAATTAATTTTAAGCAGCTAAAAATTATTTAAAAACTATTACAAAATGTTTATTATATTAAAATACCAAAATATAACAAATATAGAAATATAATAATTTTAAATGTTTAAAATTAATCTTAAAAATTTATGTTAATAAACTTTGGTTTTGATCATTCAACTTTGCCCTAATGGGTGAAAGAGAAGAAGCCAATATATGTTGAAATAGGAATTAGAGAAAAACATATAAATAACTAAAGCATGTTGCAATAATTTGGATATTGGGTGAATCATAAAATTCTTATTAACATTATTTCTTATTGCCAAATATGGTAACTACCATTCAAATTAGAGAGCTATTTGCAATTGGACGATGGATCCAGCTGAAAGAGATGCATCATTGATTAACGAAGCATTGAAGAAGGAAAGGGTACCAAATTACAGAGTAATTATTGAGATTGCTTGCACTAGAACTTCAGAAGAGTTTCTGGCTGTGAAGCGTTCATACCAGTTCCTATACAAGCATTGCCTTGAAGAAGATGTGGCTTCCACAACAATCGGTGATATTCGTAGAGTAAGTGGGTTAATTATCGACCTATATTATGTGCTTTGTTTTTCAATAAAACACACTTTAATTTGTTTAGAAATAATAATAATTAGTAAGTTTTTATTAAAAATCACAAGATATTAAGAAATATAATGTATTAATAATATTAAAAGTTACATTTTTTAATAGAAATCTTTTAGTTATTACTTTTTTATCATATATCCTTAAAAAAATTGTAAGAATAATGAACAATTAGAAATGGAGAATAAGAATCACACCTTTTGTTATTCCTTTTTCATGCAGTTGTTGGCTGCAGTTATAAGCACCTATAGGTATGATGGAGATGAGTTCGATGAGAGTATGGCTCATTCTGAAGCAAATATTGTTCATCAAATAATTGAAAAGAAGGCTTTTAACGATGATGAAATCATTAGAATTTTGAGTACAAGAAGTAAGAAGCAGCTATGTGCGACTTTCAGTATCTTTAGAAACATGTATGGCACGACAATTACCAAGGTAATGTTATAAGTTTATGTACTCTGCTCCACAAACAGAATACAAGGACAAGGAACACACACATCACCGCCATTCAACTGAAATTTCTATGCTAAAAAGTTATTAATGAAATTATGTTATGGATTTAAATTTATTCAATTGAAATTAAAATTAACATTTTTAATTACAACAGAATTTTTATAATCTTGTGAAATCAAGGGCTGAATCTGGCCTTAAGTACTTTTTGAAGACAGTTAAGACTATACAATTCATAAAAATGTAGTTAAAAACTGATGGACAAGCCAAAGTTTTTAGTTACATTCTAGAGTGGGGAAAGATATTCAAGAAATGAGTCTTGTTAGTCTTCTTTGAGCATTGCTAATAGTGTTTTCATTTTTAATCCTTTAATTAGTGTCCTTAAGGCAATTTTTTAACATTTGCATTATGAAATTTATACTCTATGGACTACACTTGTTATGAATTTGTAAAATTGGCTAGAAATTAATACTTTCTAGAGTTTACTATTATTTCCCAAAGTAGCATTTGATAATTAGCAAATTTTTATTATGCATAAAACTTTTATTTTCAAGCCTCCAATGAACGATACATGGGTATTCTTTGCTAATTGTAGGGATTATTAGGCACTCCAAGTGATGAATACATGGTGGCACTGCGTACTGTCATTCGTTGCATCAAGAACCCCCAAAGATATATGACCAAGGTAACTGAAGTCATCAAATTATGTTAGTGTAACTTTTCTTGTTATGTAACTTTTCTTAAACATGCATACATTGACTTGATTTAGGTGTTATGCCACGCCTTGAATGATTTGGTGACTGAAGAGCATGCTTTGAGCCGTGTTATCATCACTCGTGCAGAGAAGGATTTAAACGAAATCAAAGATCTTTACTTCAAGAGAAATAGTGTCACCCTTCATAATTCTGTGGCTCAGAAGACATCAGGAAATTACAAGAATTTTCTTCTTGCATTGTTAGGAAACAATTGAGTTTAACTTATGTGTTTGGGGTAGCATCACTTTTTAACCAATGTTTGAGGAAATTACTATCTCTATATTTGAGCAAAATAAAGTTTTCAAATAGTGATTTATATGAACCAATAAACTCATTGGCTTTTGCCACCACAATAACATAACTTACCTTCATATAATGGTTGATTCATGGCTTCGGTATTCATCTCCCTCTCATATTATCTAACATAGCTTTTCTTGCAAATCTTATGAAGATTGTGACAGTTAGCATCAATATATTGGGTCGTGTTCCTATGTTCTTCAAAAGATGGGAATATTAATAAATAAGATTGCAATAAAGCTGAGAACTTAAAAGAATACTAGGGATAATACCCCATGAACATAAAAAAAGAAAAAAGCAACAAGCAGAAAACACAGTTCAATATTCGAGTCATACCTATATTCTTGTCCTCGGTTAGGATGACAGCTATTTAAAGACTGATAAGTCAGTCCCCTCAACCGATGTTGGGACTTATCATCCCCGGACTTATCATCCCCTCCCTCTTCAAGAGAGTCCGCCACAGACGCACCGGTTAGCATGATATTGTCCGTTTTGGGGGTTAACCCCTCACAGTTTTATTTCTCCCAGATATGACACACTAGAAAAAGGCCTCATGCTAGAAGGAAGGACGCCACAGCTATTTAAAGACTGATAAGTCACTCCCCCCAACCGATGTGAGACTCATCAGTTTCTAATTTCATTATTTGCCTGATTGCAGACATCATTTTACATTTTGTTTTGTCATGTTTTCTAGATTAAACAACTATTTCTTATGGTCTTACTTTGTTCCAAAGGAAACGTGACTGCATTTTGCTCTGGAACCTCCAAGTATTATGATGTAGTTTGACAATTGGTTTAAGTAAAAAATAGTATCACTAGCTAGCAAAAAAATAAACTTGAGAAAATTCTTCTAATTGCAGCTTCTGTTAAATGTTAATAAGTATATTAAAAGCAACTCGACAAGTATTGGCTAGCATTGTTTCATCATTAGCTATTATTCTGTCCGGTAAGTTATTTGATTTGATTTGAAGGTGTATTGTACTAATTTAATTCCCTACGATTTAATATGATAAAGTTTTAAGGATTAACACTTATGAAATGCATCTACTTGTATATAAAAGTTTAATTCCCTACGATTTGAGACAGTTTTTCTATTTAGTTTCAAAAAATAGACTTAATGCTCATAAATTAGGTGGATGAGAAGTCATAAGCTAATTTAAAATGTTCATGACTTACTTATTTGATAATATGTAATATATAGAGGTAATTTGAATGCTTCATATGAACAGTTCAAGAGTTTTGATTGGATGAGAGATTTTAAGAGAGGATTATGATATTTTGTGGGATTTAGTATTCTGTTTATTAAAATTTGTTGTTTGAATTTTTTAAAAGAATTTAAAATAACAACCGAGCTGAAAATACGTTGTTTAAGAAATTAAAAGAATAATTTTTATTAAAAATTATAATTTTTTACTTAATTATATTTTAGTTTTTATAAATATAACACATTTGTGATTAAATTTTTATAAAATATTTTATTAAAATTTAATTTCTAAAATATTAAAAAGTTAAGATTTAATATTTAAGTGTTGAGTCGGTTGATGCAGAGTTATTTAATTTTTTAATATTTAAAATTAATATTTATAAATCTTTAAATATATTTTAAATATTTATGACGAAGATGTTTAATCTTGCTAAGGAAGCGAAGCTCGCTAGAGAAGGTGTTGTCAAGGCTCCAAATTACGCCCTCGCTAGCATCTGCAAAAGCCTCGTCGCCGGTGGAGTCGCTGGAGGAGTGTCAGTTCCGTTTCTCATTTCCTAATTACTTTTTTAATTAAACTTTATTTATGAATATGTCGATGATGATAGTGTTGGATTTTCATTGTCAGGGAACAGTGGGGATTGATGTTTATGGCTTTTGTGATATCATTTTTTTGGGTTTAATTTCGTTGAATGATTAATATTTATTAATCTGGCTTTTGTATTTGGAGAAGTAGAATGAGTATATTATGCGTTAAATATAGGCGTTGTTGTTCATTTTGGAAGTTGCCAGTCCTTTTACTTTTACTTGGACTGGATTACTTGTGAGGAACTAATCCGAAAATCGGGGGATTTGAAACAAGATTCAGTTTTTTTGTGCTTGTATATGTCATTTATGACGAAAGTCACTAAAATTCTTCATTCCCTTAATATCTTGATGGTACATTGCCTTGCTAATGTTGCATTTCCTGCCAATTAAAGAATGCATGCTTACTTTGAATTTCATTTTCATTTCAGTAAATTGAGTTGTAATTACAATTACAACAATCCGTAATTCAAATTTACTGGAAACTCGTTCTTGCTGATAATTCCAAGATTTTTTTTGGTGTTGTGCCGAGTTTTAATTTTTAACCAAGTTTTTGTTGTGCCTATGCAGATCACGTACTGCAGTTGCTCCACTGGAACGCTTAAAAATTTTGCTACAGGTTAGTTGATTTGGTTGTTTAGATCTACATGGATTAGCTATTATTTATCCTTGCTTTTGTGACTCTATTCACATGAAATGTTTTGGACTAGTTTTAACACGATTTTTAATTCATAAACTAATGTTCTAATGTTACTGATTTGCTTTTATTATAAAAGAATTTGTCTAGAAACTTAAATGTCTGAAATATCAATTATACTTATCAAACATTTATTTTAACATACAATAAAATAGCCCATATATTATGGCACAGGTCTTCAACTAGGTTTTGCTTTCTGTTCATTTCACACACTCATCTAGGATTTTCAATTTTTGGGAATTCCACCTCCCTTCCTGTGATTATTTGCATGGCTTTGATTGTGACTGTTCGTAATCTTGCTTACTGGATGAGTCAGCCTTGCAATTCATTCTCTATGATAATACAAATTTGAGCTGATATTCTGTTGCCCACTGTTTTGGTTTTGGAGTAAATTAAGAATTCTAAGTATATCGTTATTTTGTTTTCTATTGGTTCTGGGATTTTTTTTCCTTCTTGTCCATTTCATTTGATAATCTCTGCTGAATGTTAGCCAAAGTTGATGAATAGGGCGGTGATTTGTATTTTGTGAAGTGTGCCAATTCTTATTTGCCTTAGCTCTGTTTTGGACTGTGCATCATGTTTATTAACTACTTAACTGTGCTAATCTAGCTGATTTTTGTTAAAACCCTGCAATTATTATTTGCTTATTGTTTTAAAGGATTTTTCTATTGTTCAATTTGTGATTCAATTATTCCTTTTCTCTTAAATCTTCTACAGGTTAAACTCTGTGTTTTTACTCCTATCTCTTGTATTCAGTCAATGCTGAGCTAAGTAGTTGTCAATTAAAACCTGACTATTTTTACTACCTTCATTGTTCATTTTACTGGAAATTGCTTCTTTGAAGTTTTGTCACTCAATGTTCTTCAACTTTAAGAAAATTATACTATCCTTTAAATACAAGATCCATAGTGTTCCTTCCTTGCACATCCAAAGGCACAGTTATGTGAATGTGTACATGAATTGGAAAAAAGATTCGTACTATGACTCAATTGAGCACATCCATCAGTCCATTCACCTCAAGCCGGTCATTGCTCTTAAAAACTGCATTGCCCAGGATCCCAATGGATGCATTCCTATCTCTGCAGTGTCAAAGAGGGGATTGGTGTTAGATGTGCCCATGAAGGTTGCAAGATTTATGAGGCAATATCCATCCATTTTTGAGGAGTTCACGGGTCCCAAGTACAATCTACCTTGGTTCAGGTTGACATCAGAAGCTGCTAAAATTGACAGGGATGAGAAGAGAGTATATGAAGAATGCAGGGAGGACCTACGATCCAGGTTGAGGAAGTTGATATTGATGACCAGAGAGAATGTTCTTCCTTTAAAGATAATTCAAGGGATGCAGTGGTATTTGGGCTTGCCAAATGATTTCCTGCAGCACCCAGAACAAAATCTTGATGACTCTTTCAAGTTTGTGGAGATGGAAGATGGATTGAAGGGGTTGGCTCTTGAAAGGGGGGAAAAGATTTATTCTGTAATGGAGAAGAATGCCATGAAAAGAGGTTTGTACTTTGGCGGCCCGATGGAGGCCATTGAGTTTCCATTTTTTCCATCAAAGGGTTTAAGGTTGAGGAGGAAGATAGAGAACTGGCTAGATGAATTTCAGAAGCTTCCTTATATTTCACCTTATGATGATTTCTTGAATTTGGATCCAAACAGTGACATAGCAGAGAAAAGACTTGTGGGGGTTCTACATGAACTGCTCTCCCTTTTTGTTGAGCATTCAGCAGAAAGGAAGAAGCTCTTTTGCCTCAAGAAGCATTTTGGTTTGCCACAGAAAGTGCACAGAGTGTTTGAGCGGCACCCTCATATGTTTTATCTTTCTTTCAGGAACAAGACTTGTACAGTCATTCTTAAGGAGGCTTACAGTAAAATATCACCTATTGGGGAGCATCCTCTACTGAGGGTGAGGAAGAAATACATCAAGTTGATGAAGGAATCAGCAGTTATTTTGAGGAACAGGAGGGTGAATAATCGGTTTTCTAATTGTAGTTCTAAAATGGGTTTAGATTCAAAAGATCTGGATGAAAGGGGACATGAGATGGCAAGTTTTTCTTTGGACCAAGTTGTGTGAAAATTTATAGAACAAGACTTGAGGTTGCTTTATCAGAAGGCATACATGAAGTTTTTACCAACAGAAAGAGATACTAGTAGCTGACGTATAACCATTAGTTGAAAATGCCTATAAGCTGTTTTCAAGCACATATATGTACATATATATACGTACTTATGCTGTTAGGTAAAGATACGTGAATGATCTTATATTATATTTCTAACTCAATCCTTGTTGATCTGATTCTAATAAAGGAGGTTGGCCTGTGCATTGTCCACGCTTTAAGCCCAAGGGCTCTTACATGAGGGGGCATGTTGGAAATATAATGTAAAACTATTTATGTCTTTTCCTAACAGCTTAAGCTCTTGGAATTGTTAGTTCATTACACGGACACACAAACATATCTTTGTTTATTAGTTTTAGAAACATGCCTGATCTACTCTGTTGAATTGTTAAACCTTACATGTTTGGTGTTGTCAATGTTTTATAGGCACAGCCTTGTATGTTCTACTTTGTGGCTGTACTTGCTAGCATACCATAACATTGTATTTGTTCTTTGGCAAAACATGTTTTCAAGCCTTTTCTGACTTGATTTTATTTTTGCCCTGCCATAAGTTCTTGACATGTGAAGTCTCTTTGTTGCCTATGATCTGCAATTCTAATCTGCCTCGCTCATGGTGGAAGTGAACATTCCAAGCATGCTTTTAACCAAAAATTTGGAATGTGGGAATAGTGCTCCACTAGAACTCTCCAGTTATTGAATGCATTTGTTGGTTGAGATGAATCAAAATCTGCTCAATATTTTGCCTCAAATTTACAGGTATGATTGACATTATTGTTGGTGGTGGTTTTTCAGTTAGTGAACAAGGTTCTGATATTGATGTGTTATACTTTGACAAAGCTGCTGGAATGGACACAGGACCTATCGTTGTTCAATTTTTACACTGAACCTCAAACAGATAATAGTAATCTATCCCGCATGAGTAAGCGTGGAAAGTTAAACAAGAATCTAGAGCTACTATTCGTGGTCATTTTGGTTTGCATCAACACGAATCCAGCCCTTTTTTGTCCTGTCTATTAATTTGTTTTCATCCCGGTACTCCTAGCATGTTTGGATGGAAAGAAATAAAACTTTTTGAATTTTGAAAATTTTTACTATTTAGTTGAAGAGAGAACGAAGAGCTGAGTAAAGAAAAAGAAATTAAAAGTTTTCTCTCATCCTTTATTTTCTTTCCACTTTTGCAAATTTAATTTGGTTATGTTGGATTTAAAATGTCTCTGCGATGTCCCAGATGGTCTGCTTGAATTGTGAACAGAAGAAGTATCCCCTTTCTTTCCATTTTAATTTTATCTGTTTTTTAGGTCAAAGTTTATTCATTTTTAGAGTAAACTATACTTCTTTCCAGTGAAAGAAGCTTAAATTACACTGTTATTTCTTTTTATTTAATACATGAGTTTCTTAATGGCATTTTTCTTTTCTTTTCATAATTCTCAATATCGTGGGTAATGAATTTTGAACTCTGTTATTTACCTTAAAACTTTAGAATTTGAAATGAAAGTTTAGAAGTAAAGTTCTAGAATCAATTGTATGAAAAAAGCAACGTGAATCATAGTAATAATCTTTTTTCCTGTCATGTACACATTCACATAACTGTGCCTTTGGACGTGCAAGGAAGGAACGCTATGGATCTTGTATTAAGTAAAAAAACCATCAAGGCAGCAATTTCAAGGCAACATAATATCAGCTCAAATTTGTATTATCATAGAGAATGAATGGCAAGGCTGACTCATCGAGCAAGATCACGAACAGTTACAATCAAAGCTATGCAAATAATCGCAGGAATGGAGGTGGAATTCCCAATAATTGAAAACCCTAGATGAGTGTGTGAAGGGAACAGAAAGCAAAAGCTGGTTGGAGATCTGTGCCATACATAATATGGGCTATTTTATTGTTATTAAAAATACATGTTTGATAAGTATAATTGATATTCCATCACTAATTAATTTTTGTATCTGAAAATTCTATGTTTAAAACTTATATAGGAATATTTTATCTCATTTTGATTTTATGTCTAATAAGTATACTGATATTTTAAACATTCAACTTTCTGGAATAAACAACCGTAGATAATTTCTTTTATAATAAAAGCTGATCAGTACCGTTATAACATTAGTTTATAAATTAAAAATATTTTTATTTAAAATAATGTTAAATTGCTTTAAAAATTATGAACAAAAGGTATATTTTTTTAATAGCTTTTTAAATTTCTTAAACAATGTCCTTCTGGTGCTAATTAGCATTTTTTTATTTTAAATTCTCTTAAATGATATTTTAAATTCTCTTAAAAAATATCAAACAACAAAGTTTAATAAATAAAATTTTAAATCCCTCAAAATATCAAAATCCTCTCCTAAAATCCCTCATCCAATCAAAATTATTGAACTGTACATATGAAGCATTCGAATTGCCTCTATGTATTATTATCAAGGAATTATGTAATGAACCTTTTAAATTAGCTTACGACTTCTCATCCATCTTATTTACGAGATGAAGTATATATTGATTGAACTAGAGAAAAAGTGTCACAAATTGTAGGGAATTAAACTTCCATTAGTGTTATCCTTAAAACTTAATCATATTAACATCAAACTTCGCTTCACATTTCACAAAAATATAAGTCAATTTTTTTATCATCAAAATCCCACAAAATTATGCAGAAAATAGCAACAAAATATGTATCATTAGTTCAAGAAAAACATAGCTACTACTAGCCACAAGGCTCATTTTGGTTGTTTGAGCAGAATATCATGCAGCTTTCCAAAACTGAATTGGCTAAAGCACCATTGAACATACGAGGAAATTTCTAACACGCTCCATTAGTTGAACCTTTCAAAGCATAATTATTTCAAGGAATTTCTTTATATAAATCCAAAGCATCAAGCAAAGCTTTACATTGACCAATTTAGTAAAAATTCCACTAAGCAATTGCAAAACTAATATGCAGTAAAAGAAATCCTTGCATGCTACATGAATGAAACCAAGTTTTTATACAGCAATATGACCAAAACTGAAACTATGTACTTCCTTTAAGCTCGCTTTATGAGTTACTTGTTATCAGTCACAATTCAGTATTTGCAATCATATTTAACACAACATAAACCATGAAAAAAACTATGAGCAATGATATTTTGCCAAGATTTCATCTCTTTAATCGGTTAAGCTACACAAATTGTGTGTCAAAGTCTTGACTTTGCATGTGCATCACACTCGACTAGTTTTTAGTTAAAAGTTGAATAACACTCTACACAATTATGCCCCTGCACAATTACCATGCCACAGTTACCTCCAATACTTGACTTATATTATTTCAGGAGACCATGAATATAAGTTTCTGCAGATTATGGAGACTCACATGCCAAAGTGCAAGATTCAACTGGGCCTGACACATATAACATACACATAGCTGGTAAATCTTCATTTCATCTATATCCAAATATTTAAAGTAGAAAAATAAGGATTGCCCTTACATTGATATAGTAACTGATAGAAAAATAAGGATTGAAGACATGAATAAATTGGACTCGAAAAAATTAGTCATCCGAGGATGTGCTTACAAATATGATCCCGTATGGTTTTATGGACAAAGCATTGCTAATCTGCTAGAGCTTAAGTAACAAAGGATGTAGAGTGTAAGACGTTGCAACGGCACTAAGAACCACGAAACCGATTGGTAAGTGCTAATTCAAGGCCATAAATTATATGAGACCCCTTGTACTATGTGATACTCAGCCCTGTTAATTGATATATACAGACATGTTCATACCTGATAGCCATGTTTACATTATTTCATAACATTTATTTCTGATACAAAAGATGACACGATATGAATGTTTGTGTTCTAGCTTGGAATGCCTCCCCTAATAGTAACCTTAACTCATTAATGCAACTATGAATAAGGCAAAGATTCTCAGTGAGAACATGCTTTTCTTAAAGTACCCTTCTACTAGATTTTGATCTCCAGCTTAAATTCCTTTCCAATAAGCAGTGACAAATTTGAAACTTCAGCAATATCAAACTGAGAGGAGCTATCAAGTTGTGTCCTCACAGTTGCTTTCCCAATTGAATTCATCCCGTTTACAATGTTCAACTCTTTCCTTGACAAATCCATTCTATTAAATGTCTTATGCTTAGGTATCCCCAAGAGAGTTACCTTATCTATGATCCACCTTTGGTCTAGAGCGAATCTTCCATTAGTGACCTTAGATGCAACAAAAATGCTATTGTTGTCAAATACAGCATCAAAGCTTACTAACGTCCATTGCTCATTCCCTCCTGCTATGTCAAGACCCTCCCCATCATCCAAATAGACTTTTCCATAACTATTTCCACTTCTACTAATAACCACCACAAGTTGAAATGAAGTGTTTCTAGCAGCTTCAGTTGTCATTGCTTCTCCTTGCAAGGCCAAAATATTACCTTCCCCAACATGCACATTAATGTGATCAGATGGAGCATTAAGAGTCACATGCTGGCCTGATTTTGCATTCAATGAATTTGAGAAATTGAAGAGGTCAAACCAGTTTCCTGCAGGAAAGTATGCATCAACAGTGACTGCCCCAGATTGTAGTACAGGTGACACCAAAACCCCTTTACCCAACAGAAACTGTGAGTTGATTTCATATGTTGTGACATCCTCAGGGAATGAAAAGAAAAGGGGTCTTGCAATTGGCGTCCCTTTTGTATGTGCTTCATACATTAGTGTGTAGAAATAAGGAAGAAGACGATAACGAAGACCAAGCACTTTCCTAGCTGATGCAGCAACTGATTCCCAAAGGTAAAGCTCTTGCCTGATGGAATTCTTGTCTGAATGATCTCTCGCAAAGGGGTAAAAGGCCCCCAACTGCATTAAGCAAAATAATGAGTTACATATGTATAATACTGTGTTTCATAGTTTATTCCTGCTAAGCTAAGCACGCGAATATTTAATATAGTAACATTCACACTAGTGCAAAAATTATCCCATACTACAACTGCATTTGAGAATCAATTTACCTGGATCCAACGCCGGCAAAGTTCTTCAGTTGTATTCCCTGAGAAACCACATATATCTGCTCCAACCATCGGAATCCCAAAGATTCCAAAATTCAATATGGATGGAATTGAGTATGCCAAATCATTCCATGTTGCAGCATTGTCTCCTGTCCAATGGGCAGTGTACTTACCAGAGCTAATAAATGTTGATCTACTAAGAATGAATGGCCTTCTACTAGTTATATTCACTAATGCCTTGTTAGTTGCCTTGGCTTCTAAGAGTCCATACAAATTGTGGGCATTATACTCAGTGATGTTACCAAAGTGCAAAGACGTTGCAGGGACTGTTCTGTCATTAATGGATTGTTGAGATCCTTTATTGTTGATTTTGTAGGGAGGGTTATCAAGGTTAGAAGATGGAATTGGAAGAGAAGTAATGAAATTTGATAACTCATTCATGTCGATCCAAAGACCATCAAAAGGGAGAAGGTCTCTAAATAATTTGACCTCCCCACCCCAAAATTCTTGGCTGCGTGGATTTAGAAAATCAGGGTAGTAGACCGGTCCAGGCCAAACTTCACCCAAGTAATTGACTCCATTTCTCTTTATGTATATATCAGCTTTCAAACCTCTAACATAGGTTGCATATGTCTCATTTACAGCGATACCTGTTTTCAAAATAATTTCCCTCAGATCAATAAAAGATGCAGATATGCTTCCTCAAACATAAAGAAAAGAAAATGAATTGTACGAAAGAAATTTTATGATGTCAGAATTAGGTACCAGGATCCAAGATAAGCACATATTTCTGACCATTTTGGTGAAGAGTATCAACAAAACTTCTCATCTTATCCAATGGAAAGTTGATTGGATCAAGTGTGAAATCTTTATTTCCATCCATGTAGTCAATATCTGTCCACATAACTTCAAGGGGTATATTTGCTTTTGAGTAGTTGGCAACCACACCCTGGAGATCACTTACACTCTCGTAGCCCCATCGACACTGATGAAAACCTTCCCAAAAGAGAAACAAGGATGTGAATCAACTGAAATTCATAAGTTAAATTTAAATGTGTATGTAGTAACTAATCCAAAGGAAGAGGGTGCATGTGACATACCAAAGGACCAATAAGGCATGGGAGCAGGCCTACCAATGAGTTCAGTGTACTGATCCAACACCAATTCTGGAGAGGAACCACCGAAAAAATACAAATCAAAAACCCCACCAATGACCTTATATGTAATACGATCACCACCATACACTATGTCCATTCCATTGCTGTTCAACAGTAAAACCCCATGTGTGCTTCCACCTTTCACTTTTCCATCTGGGGACTGTGATCTCACGTCCAAATAGAAAGGGTGAGACCCATAAAGGTTGACATCGAGGTTTGAACTTCCAACGTCTGTATTCCACAAAGTGAAATTCTGA